ACTGGCAAATTCTACCAAGTGTTTAAGGAAAAATAATATGAATTCTATACAAGGTCTTCCAAAAAAGAAGAGGAAGATGTACTTGCCTCTATTATCCTGAGACCAAATCCAGACAAAGTCATTACGAAAGAAAAAACAACCAGTATCTACCATTCGTTACAGCATGGATGGACATGGAGAGCATTATGCTAAGCAAAATAAGCCAGTTGGAGAAAGATAAATATCACATGATCTCACTCATTTGTGGAATATAATGAACAACATAAACTGATGATCAAAAATAGATCCAGAGACAGAAAAGCGTCAAACAGGCTGTCAAACTTCAGAGGGAAGGCAGGGGAGGTAAGAGATCAACCAAGGATTTGTATGCATGCATATAAGCATAACCAATGGACACAGACAGTAGGGTAGTGAAGGCATGTGCATGGGGTGGGGGTGGTTGGGGAGAGGTCAATGTGGGAAAAAGACATATGTAATATAAGTAATACTTTAAACAATAAAGAATTTAAAAAAAGGAAATTTGGACACAGGCATGCATGCACGGAGGAAAGACCATGTGAAGACTAAGACTAAGGGAGAGAAGACAGCCATCTATGGATAAGGAGAGAGGCCTCAGAATGCCGTCAACCCTGTCAACACCTTGATCTCAGACTTCCAGTCCCCAGAGCTATGAAACAATAAAGTTCTGTTGTTTAAAAAAACAAACAAAAACCAACAACCAGTATTCTTCATAAACATGCACACAAAATCTTCAACAAAAATTGCCAAATATTATCTAATAATAGATGGAAAAGAGTACATCATAGCTAAGTGGAGTTTATATCAAGGATGCAAGGTTGGCTCAATACTGTCAGGCTTACTTCTTCAATATTTTAGAAAACGTCTGCTAAATACTCACGTCTAACCATAGTTTATTCTTTCCAGTAAAATGGTGTTCTATGAAAAACCAATGAATACTTGGCTAGTTTAGCTCTCAATGCAATCACACAATTGCTTTTTCTTAAGATAACATCATACTTTGAAATGCTGCATTGGTTCTTTGTGTACACTTTCCATTTCATCACTTAACATTAAAAAGACATAATAATTTTACTGCTTCATCAAAGATATTCTTAACTGCCACTGAATTCCTCCCCACCCCCGCCACCCACACAGCAAGTGTCATAATGACTATTAAACCTGCTGAATTAGGGGAAAGAAAAAAGTCTGATGAAATAAAAATCACAAGACAGAGAAATGCCCTTGTTTGCGGCAGCAGTCTCCGGTGTTTACCTATGCCGCCATCTTGGTCTCTCCCAAAGATATTCTTAACTGCCACTGAATTCCTCCCCACCCCCGCCACCAACACTGAAAGTGTCATAATGACTATTAAACCTGCTGAATTAGGGGAAAGAAAAAAGTCTGATGAAATAAAAATCACAAGACAGAGAAATGCCCTTTTTCTACAGTAAAATCTATTAAGTCAAAAATATATCACTGCCATTTTAGAAATATGGGAAAATCATTTATCCTGGCAATTGTGGCTTTACAAACACAGACAAGTTATTTGAGTTTTCCCAAAACATAAATTCATACCCTATATAATACCCTCTCCTCAAGTAGGTGGGACCTGTGACTTGCTTTCAACCAATAGAATATGGCAAAGGCAATGAGTGTCACTCTCACAACTACATTAAAATATGTGTATATAATACATACATATAGCCATCTTGCTAGCATGCACTAGAGATTCTCTTCACTTCTTAATGGAGTGAGTAGGATTCCTCTAAGCACTGCAGGTAAATTCTGGTCAGCAGCCTGCAAAAATCCTGGGGGCCTCAGTCATAGAGCCCAAGGAAATAAATTCTGCCAACAATCTGAATGAGTTTGGAAGGGGATTCTTCCTTACTAAGCCTCCAGATGAGAATGCAGCTTGTGAAACTCTGAGCAGAGGACACCATCAATTCATGCCTGGACTCCTGACTCATAGAAATTGTGAGATAAAAAAATATGTAGTCCAGCTGGCGTGGCTCAGTTGTTGAGTGTCGACCTATGAACCAGGAGGTCACAGTTCAATTCCCAGTGGGGACTCATGCCCAGGTTGTGGGCTTGATCCCTAGTGTGGGCCATGCAGGAGGCAGCTGATCAATGATTCTCATTATTGATATTTCTATCTCTCCCCCCCTCTCCCTTTCTTCTGAAATCAATAATAAAAATATATTTTAAAAATCTGTAGAACTGATTTTGGCAGTGTGAATAAAACATAGCCCCTTTTTTCATGGCACAGTCTAGTGCATGTGAGATAGAAAATAAACAAGTAATACAAAGATGGGTGATGACCACTATGAAGAAAACTATGTCAAAGGCAAATGGGGAGTAGTATGGGAGACATTTTAAAAAATAGGAAATAGGTAAGGAAGGCACACTGATAAGATATTTGAGCGAAAAAGAAGAAGAAGAAGCAGCAGCAGCAGCAAGGAAGCAAGCCTTACAGTTCTTTGTGAGGAAAAAAAATGTTCTAGATCAGCGGTTCTCAACCTGTGGGTCGTGACCCCTTTGGGGGTTGAACGACCCTTTCACAGGGGTCGTCTAAGACCATCAGAAAACACATATATAATTACATATTGTTTTTGTGATTAATCACTATACTTTAATTATGTTCAATTTGTAACAATGAAATTGGGGGTCACCACGACATGAGGAACTGTATTAAAGGGTCGTGGCATTAGGAAGATTGAGAACCGCTGCTCTAGACAAAGGGACTAGCAAATGCAAAGGCGCTGAGGTGGGGAAAAGCCTGATATTTTTAAGGAACACTAAGGAACTCATTGGCTGGAATGTGAGAAAAGAATAGTAGAAAATGAGGTTGGAGATATAGCCAAAGGTCTTTTCACTCAAGGCTTTATTAGTCATGGCAAGGACCTCACATTCTAAGTGTGATTGGAAACCATTAGACCATTTTAAGTGTCCAGGAGAGTGATGTGACCTGATTTTTCAGTCCAAGTGATCCCTCTATTGCTGAGCAGGGAATAGGCTGAGCTGAATAAGGACAGAAGGGGGAGAATAGTTAGAAGGCTATTGCAATAATTCAGATGAGAGCTGACAGTATGGCTTGGTCTCGGATGATGCAGGTAGGAGACATCTGGATATATTTGGAAAGTATAGCTGACAGATTTGCTGATGGATTAAATTCGAGGTGTGAGAGAAAGCGACAAGTCAAGGGTGACACCCAAGAATTTTGGGCTGAGCAACTGGAAGGATGGAATTACCATCAATTGAGATACAATATTCCAGGTTGGGAGGTGGAATAGGGAATCAGGAATTTAATTTTTATCTGTTAGGTTTAAGACGCTTGTTAGACATTCAGGTGGCAATGTCAAATAGTCCAAAGGATATACAAATCAAGAGTTGAGAGGAGAGGTTTGATTTGGAGGTGTAACTCAGGAGTTGCCAGGGTATTGGTAGTATTTAAAGCCACAAGACTGAGTGAGAACACAAGAGTGAACGCAGAAGAGGAAAGCATTTCAATTACTGAACCTAGGAGATGTCAACATATAAGGGTCAGAGAGATGAGGTACTGGGATACTGGTTTGAATCAGAGAGAGCAATTTGGATGTGAATGGTATTTAAATCCATGGGATTGGATGAAATCACCTAGAGAAGGAATGTAGGATGAAAAGAGATGGAATCCTGGGGGACCAAAGCATTTTAAGCAGCTGCCGGAGAGGTGGAGGAAAACCAAGAGAATATGCTATCACTTTAGTGCCTTTAGGCCAGAAATGGGAGTGTCTCTCCAAGAGTGGATATTTACTTGTATCAGATAAGATGGAGAGAGCAAGATGTCAAAAAGGTGACTTGGCAGCAAGGGTCATTGGTGTCCTCAAAACAAATTTCAGTGTAGAGGTTGTGGAGAGAAGCCAGATTGGAGAGAGTTGCTATATGAATTGAAAAGAGTGGAAGAAGAGCTACTGAGAAATTTTGCTACAAAGGTAAGCAGAGAAATGGGGCAGTGGCAAAAGGGGCATGTGAAGCCAGAGTAATTTTTTTAGGATAGGAGTTACTTCAACATAGAATGAGGGGATGATGGAAGGAGGGAAGTTCTTCATAAGGGGGTTCTGACTGGGATCCATCATTTAGGTGGAGGGATTGCTCTTCCATAGGAGGAGAGCCTTGTTCTTAGTAGTAAACAGGGAAGAAGGAGAAGGTATAGACACAGGTAGACTTGCATAGTTAGTGATGGAAAAATAGAATTTCTGCCTAATTTATTGTGTTGTCAGTGGAGTATACAAGATTATAAGCTAAAATTGAGACAGGGCAATGAAGTAGGAAGTTTGAGGAGAAAAGAGAAAGCAGAGTCAGTTTTGAGTGTAGGAAACTAGATAAAGTTGGTTTGATGGGCATTTGAGGTGGAATCATGAACTTAACATGAATTTACTTTGCTGTGGATGTGATTTTTCTCTAGCTGTGTTCGACTATTGGGATCCTTATTGGCAGAGAGGAGGCAGATATTTGATTCTTCCATCTTTGCCAACCAAGCATGATAGGGTAGGAGTGGGAGAATAGGAGTCAAGGGTGGCAGAAAAAGAGTAACTTAGAGCTTATGTTAGTGAGTGACTAAATGATGGGCCCTGGAATAGAAGCCAGACAAATTCTAAATGATATAGGAAGGGTCTAAACAGAGAGAGTGGCAACATCAATGGATTGAAGACCATATATCGTTGACGAACTGGTGTTCTTTCTATAAGTTGTGCATGTGATTTTTAGCTGTAAAATGTTAACGTTTCCAAAGACTTGATTCAATTCTTCTGTAATTGGTAGAATTCCCTTGAAGGAGGCCAATAGGAAAGAACTGCTTTTGCCAGAATTTTATTGTCCATGGAGTGTTTGAATGTTTTTGGCTTTGAGGCCACATCAGTCTTGAAGGTTACAACCAAGATTGGTTAGAACATAGTAATAGCAATTTCTGAGTCAGAATTCCAGTTCTCTGCACATTCCTACCTTTCTGTTCCCTTGTCCTGCAGTGGCAAGTTCTAAAGCACCCAGAACATCTTCCTGTTCTCCCATTACCGAAGTTTATCTCAGATATTATAATGTTGGCTCTCATGCCATTTCCTCTTTTGTGGTTGTATCTGCCCACCTGATCTACTCACTGTTCTGAAATAAAGGTGAGAGCAAGAAGAGGTCTTCTCATTTGTGTTAAAAATATGTTTATTAAACTTGTACATGATGTCTTCTGACTCTGTCTTACTATATCATTTTTGTTTTTGCAAATCTTTTATTAAACTTGTCCTTTCAGAATAACTCAGCTTTTTCTCCCCCAGAACTTTATTCTCTATTCCTTGGGGTATAAACAATAGGCAGCCAGGTTGAAGGCAATACAATTAATTGCTACCACATTGAGTTCTGCTCAAAATCATTCCTTCCCACCACATTCAGGAATTGCTACATGAGGAAATAATTACTGAAAATTTTCTGGGATTATGAAAGATACCAGTTCACAAATTCAGGAAGTTTATAAATTCCTAAGCAGATTAAATAAAAAGAAATCTATACTAGACACACAGTGAAACAACAAAACATCAAAGACAATCTTAAAAGGTGCAGGAGAAAAAGATGACCAAATACAACAATAATACGTAAGTAGGGGAAGAAGTTAATAGAGTTAGTATAGTTTATGATCCCTGGGAAAAGATAAAGTTATTGATTGATTTTAGGTTATAAAAGGCAATAAGTATGCATTTTTGTAATTTTGAGGGTATCTACTAAAAGAATCAAAAACTTTGACACTATGAGTGTGTGTGTGTGGGGGGCGGGGGGAATTGTAGCATAAAAAAATAACCAAAAGAAGGCAAGAAAGGAAAATAAAGGAAACATAAAATAGGAGGGATAAATAAGACAGATTTAAACTGAAATGCCAGTAAGTAAGTGCAAATGGACCAAATGTTCAAATTAAATGATTGTTAAGCAGGATTTTTTAAAAAAGCCAATCATATACACTTTACAAGAGTTACATGTTAAATATACAGAAAGGTTAAAGTAAAAGGATAAAAAAAAAGTTATATCATTCAATTTCTAAGTAAGAGAAAACTGGTCAGATAGACATTAAGGCAAAAAGCGTAATTAAAGATCACTTCATAATGACAAATGTTTAATTCATCAGTAATTTATAAAAGTTGTAAATGTATAATTACCTAATAGTTTCAAATTATATGCAGCATAAAGTAATAGAAGTTCATAAGTTTTCCATCATATTCAATTTTTAAGTATCTAAGTAATTAATAGAGCCAATAGAAAAAAAATAAGGGAAGATAATTGAAGATTTAAACAATGTCATTTGTAAATGACTAACTTCCTTCACCAAATTGCAAAATACACGTTCTTTTCCAGCACACATGGGACATGTATAAGAAGTGACATGTGCTGAGCTATAAAGCAGGTCTCAATAATTTAACAACTAAAACCATACAGTGCATGTTCTCTGACCACAGTGCAATTAATCTAGAAATCAACAAAATGATAACTAGACATGTAGCATTAAGGAGCTGATATACAAGCCTGTGTTTGAGATAAAAATTCATGAGCCATCCAGCTCACTAGTAGCAAAACTTGGAATTAAACCTGAGTCACCTTCACATCCATTTAGAGCAGTGGTTCTCAACCTTCCTAATGCCGAGACCCTTTAATACAGTTCCTCATGTTGTGGTGACCCCCAATTTCATTGTTACAAATTGAACATAATTAAAGTATAGTGATTAATCACAAAAACAATATGTAATTATATATGTGTTTTCTGATGGTCTTAGGCGACCCCTGTGAAAGGGTCGTTTGACCAAAGGGGTCGCGACCCACAGGTTGAGAACCGCTGATTTAGAGGGATGATACCAAAGAAAGTCTTTCCTGTCCCTAACATTTCATTTTGCACATGTAAAAACAATACTAAAATGACCTATTACTGGATTTTTAAGTAAGAGAATTCAAACATCTTTCCCACTTAGAGCTGATTCGTATTCTAACACTTTATGGTTTGCATGTTGTAATTTCATAGTCTCTTAAAATCATCCTTATTTTTTTTCTATTAATAAGATATATTAATGGAAGCTTAACCAAGATTCCATTTGGATAACCCAGAGTCCGTCCTTATATAGACCTCAAGAGCTATTAAAAAACAGATGCAGAATCTGGAGTCTTGTGAAATAGTCCAGACGGCCCTCCTGACTTAGAGTAGGCAAAACTTCACGTCAGCTGCTTAATCAAATAAAACACTCACTTCCTCCGACATCAGATGCAGCCTGGAGTTTCTGTTTCCCATGGGGATATTTTATATAGTTAGGAAGCCTATTTTTGAAGAATTAATTTTCCTCACATTTAAACCTATTTCCTTGTTTGAGATACAACATAACCAGATAGCCAGTCCTTTGTTCCATGAATGTCCTGAAAGTCTGGTTTATTGTAAGTAGAGTGACTAATGCATTTAAATCTCTTCCCAAAGTTACTGGGACTGGACTGTGAGGATACACCAGCCAGCTGTAAATGGTCTTGACCAATGTGAACAGTAAGTAAATCCCAAATGACACAGTAAGGTAGGATTATTCTTGTTTCTAAAGATACACTTGGGGAGGGGAGGAAGCTATTGGAAGATAGTTTTCCTAAAAATAGTCTAATGAAAGTGTCAAAGAAACTCTCATGTTTGCTTAAGGGAATTAAGAATAGTTATATATCCAGAAACATCTGGGAGAGGCAGTATGGTACAGTGGTTAGAGAACGGGCTTTGGATTTGGACTGATAAATGTTTGAATCCTTATTCTTCCAATTATTAGCTGTGTGATATTGTAAAGTTACTTAACAATCTTTACGTTTTAGTTTTTTCTTTGTTGAAAATACTGCTCACCACACAGTGTTGAAGATTAAATGGGAGAATTTATAGTAAGCCTTTGATAAAAGTCATCTTAGAGGTGGGTTCATTTATTAGAAATTTTTTCCTATTAGCACAGTCATACTTTCTTATAACAAGAATTCAGAGAATACAGAAATATACAAAGAATGCAATAGCTGCCTCTCTTCCCTCCAGCTCTAATTCTACAGTCACATGGTAGCCACTATTAACACTTTGCATTTGATCTTGTAAATATTTCACTTATTAGGGTTTGAAATGCCCATGTCAGTAGATGTGTTTCTATTTTATTTACTTTTTCTTTTCATATATAACATTAGAATATTTCCCCTTCACTTTCTGGTGTTAAATCAATATTTAGTATTTACACTGAGATCAGGAAGGAGAGGTTTTTTAGTCCTCAGCGGAGGACATGTTCATTGATTTTGACAGAGAGAGAGAGAGAGAGAGAGAGAGAGAGAGAGAGAGAGATGAGAGAGAATATCGACTGGCTGCCTTCCATAAGAACCCCCACCGGGGATCAAACCCGAAACCTGGGTATGTGCTCTAAACAGGAATTTAACCCGCCTTTCGGTATACAGGACGTGGCTCCAACCAACTGGGCCACACTGACCAGGGCTGTAGTTGATTTTTTATACTTGGGCTTGCTCCTCAAACCTGAACATTGAAAATTGACATACTTACACCTACAGTATCCTTTGTTTGGCTGAAAAGAACACCCCCCGTGATGTCCCAGAAGGCAGTGCTTCAGAGCACCATTCAGTACTGAGTAGCCCTCCCCCAGATGTTCTGCTGAGGGAGGACTCCCCCTCGTGTCTGACTACATAATAAATTAGAAAATATGCAGTAATTACAATATTTGCAAATGGCATAATTGATTCTCTGAGGTTTCATGAAACATATCTTTAGATCACATCATTCAGTCATTTACATTCATTCCTTCGACAAACAAACATCTGGCACCTGCTAAGTGCCAGACCCTGAGCTAAGTGTCATGGATATAAAGTCAAATCAGTTATGACCCATTACCTGAAGGCCCCAGGATGCTAGGGAATCCCAGATGAGGATCAGCTAAATCTCGCTGAGGATCAGACAACTTTCTAGGGAGAGGATGCTTGAGCTGAATTTTGAACTATGAGTATAAATTGCTGAAGGAATTTCCAGGGAAAGAAAGAGCATGGGTGATGATGGTACCCATGGCATTGTTTCTGCATGCACCAGGTCAAGAGCAAGAGTTACATATGGAATGAAGGGTATTTGGAGAAAGGAAGTCTAGGGGGTCACAGAGGAACAGGAACCAGATACTGCAAAGTTTTAATCAAACTAATGAGCTTGAATTGTGACTCATAGGTTATGAATTTAGGTTATAAACTTATTAGGTGATTACCCCCTCTCAGGAATAAAATAAAAAAAGAAAACTTCAAATATTTCTATTTTGATGAAAGAGAAAAAATTAAACATCTATGATGGATTGAGGGTAAAGCCAAGATCTTCCTTCCCAACATGATAATTACAATAATTTTAGAATAATAGTTCCTTTCTACCAGCCTCTCTGTGTTAGCGTAAGTAGATTAAACCCTCTGGGGACCTCAAAGTTGTAGGTGAATATTTTATCCTTGAAATTATAACAAATTAGAAACTGTATGGGGCTAAGTCATTTCCTGAAGTATTTTTCCAGGCTATTAGAATACCCTTTATTCCATGCAATGTAAGACACTTAAAATGGGGCCTGAGTTAGTAAACCTCCCTTAGCATTTTATTTATTATAGCTCCAGGAAACAACTTGGGTATAGGAAAAACAGAGACCAATATCTGCACATCCATTTTCTTTCTTTAGTTTGGCTTCAGAGAGCTCCAGTATCTCTCTATTTTTCTAGAAGACTGGATCTTTGAGAAACAGATTCCCACAATGAAATCTTAATGTAATTCAAGAAGTCAGAAAGGGCGAAATTTATTTTTAGATGTTTTCTTATTTTAAAATGCAGTAAAAACATTTTGTCTGTTGGTTTTAATACCACTTTATGTGTTTCTAAAGTTATGTTCTGGTTTACCTTGAGGTTTTAGACTGCTAACGTTTCAGAAGATCATCAGTATTGATATGCTTATTTCTAATTCTCTGTGTGTGGTGGTTGCTGCAGAAGTGGTCGACAATGAAGTGATTCTGTTCTAAACCCCACAAAAATATTGCCTCATAATACCTAGTATTTATTTGGTTTCTCCATTGATAATGCCCTTTCCCATACATTCCCATACATTTACAAGCTAGAAAAGTAATTCAGAGATTCCAATGAATAGATCCCAAACTTAATTCATCCTTCTCTCTCATCACCTAGGAGAGCTTTTCATAAAATAGATTCATGAGCTTCACTCCCCTACTCAAACTCCAAGACACTGCTTTAAAAGTTTATAAAAGCTGCCCAGATGACACTGATAGAATGAACTCCATTGGAAACTCCTGTTTAGGGAGACTTTTCTAGAACTCTTAAGGAACAGAGCTAGAACTCAAACCAAAGATGCTGACTGCAAGTCATAGGTGTTTCCCATAGATCACAAGTCAGGGAGAAGACAGGGTCTGGGAAGGTGGATAGAGATGGATGTGGGTTGATGTTTAAAAGGTAAACGTTAGAGCAATTTTTCTTCAAAAAAGAGCTTTTAAAAGTGAAGATGATTGTTCTTTTCCAAGATTCTAGAAATTATCTCAAATGCAATTATTATAAACATATAAGATGTCATGTCTAACATTGAGAGCATAAAATTTTAAAAATGAAACTCACCGAAAAAAACCACTACCTACCAGACAGTAATGTCTTCATTTTCCTTTTCCTTCTCATAATTATTGACAGACATGCGTTATAAAAAGAATTTAAGTATTGGTGGGAAAGAATTTGAGAGTTATTTCTAGTAATCCCTTGTTCCCTTAATGGTCTGGTATCAGATTTTTTAAAAATGTGTATCTGACTTTATTTTGTTAACACTTGCTCTAATCTTAACTTCATAAATTGGAGGCTTTCCATCCCCACTAATATAAGGGGAAATCTGGGAGCTGGGCTGCCCATTGCTGTTGGCTCCCTGAGAAAGGTCTTTAGCTTTTCATCTACTAGAGAAAATAATGATTTGTGTAGCTCTCAAGTGTCTTTTTATTTATTTTTTTAAGTCTTCATTGCTGAAAAGATTACATATGTCCTCCTTTCCCCCCATTAACCCCTTCTAGCCCACCCCCGGTCCCCTATCCCAGACTTTCATCACCCTATTGTCTGTGACCACGGGTTATGCACATATGCATGCAAGTTCTTTGCTTGATCACTTCCAAGTGTCTTTTTAAAATGGGGTTTATTTTTCTTTGATGATATATTTCAACTCACATTTTATATTTTCTGAATGAGTAATCTTGGAGGTAAATGCCCTTTATAAGTATGGATGACAAGCAGTTGAATAGACGAAACTTCTAAAGAAACCATTTTGCACCTTTTAAAAAAATTTTTAAAAACTTCTTTCTAAATGAAAACTCACCCACACATTCTTATTTTATGTTTTTGGATTTTCAGATCTTATCTTTTAAAGAAAAGCATAGTCTTAAACAACAGTCAAAATATATATTAACAGAAGTTCAGTGTATGTTCATGTAATTTTAGAGCTTGGCTATGTATGTGCATGTGTATGTATGTGTGTATCTACGTCTATGTGTGTTTTGGGTACCAATATATTTAAGAAACTCTTTTAAGATAAAAATATACCCTTAACTAGCTTGCTTATATTTTGCTTTTATTGATGAAATTTAGCATAATGAGTAGTTTATTCTGTTTCTCTGTTTTAACTTGTTTTGCTTGTTATTACTGCTCTCTCATGGTTACCAAAAGGAATATTTGTAAATATTTGTAACATCAGGAATCTTGTTTCATCTTTGGTTTAACAGTCTAAAATTCTTTAGAATACAAATAAAAATCCCAGAACACTTAAGAGTGTTGAAGAAGTGGTAATTAAAATAGTAATTTGAACCCAGGACCTTGTACATCGTAGGCTACAGATTGAATGCTGTACTGCCCATGGTCAGGGTAGTGGTGGACCTCAATTCCATAAATATTGTATATCCACCAAGGGCTTCTTGTTGGCAAATGGAGTGTAGATGTGCATGTATGCATTTTTCTGGGGGTCAGACTCTTCGTGTTCTTTACATTGTCTAAGGATTTCATAACCCCAAAAGCCAGAAAACTACTAGAGTAAAAAGTTACAAGATAAATGTGTCCATTTCACTCTCTAATTTAGACTTTCCAAACATCACTTATGTATCAGTCAGGTTTCTCCAGAGAAACAGAAACAATAGGATATTATAACATGTAGAGATGTATAAGTATATAGGAGGAGATTTATTATCGACTCACGTGGTTACGGAGGCTGAGAAATCCCTTGATCTGGAGTCTGCAGGCTGGAGAGCCAGGACCGAGGGTGACGTGATTCAGTCTGAGCTCAAAGGTCTGAGAATGGGGGACTGATGGTCTAAGTCCCAATCTGAGTCTGAAAGCCCAAGAACCAGGAGCGCCTATGTCTGAGGGCAAGTGAAGACAGATGTCTCAACTCAGGCAGAGAGAGCACCCTTCCTCTGCCTTTTTGTTCCATTCAGGCCCTCAATGGATAGCATG